AAAGCCAGAAACACAACTGCAAAAGGAATGCTAACACTGGATGAGTAAATTAGGTATTTAGTGTTAAGTTACGGACACAGTTACTCTTTAAAAATGCACTGTCCCAAGGCTTTTCTCTTGGTTTCTAAACAGTGAATTTTAACTTCAACACACTCCTAATCTGAAGGACTTCTCCTGTCGCTAGAGCGCAGCCTCAATAAAGAAAAAAAAACAAAACATGCATGAGCAGGGTCAGCAGGCTTTTATTTTGAAATGATTTCTTCTTTTTAAAGCTAGTGGGTGTGGCGGTAGGTTTTCAGGAAGTATAAGGGAGGAGAGATAGGGAATGTCTACTGGGTGGTAAATAATTAAACACAATGGACTTTCACACCTGTAGCCCTGGCGCACAATGTAAATGTAGGAGTTTGCCCTTTCATTGGCCTTCCTGTGTTACAGGGAGCTTTTAAGCATTTAGCTTTGGGTATTTTTAGCATGCATGTATGCCATTTAACCACAATGAAAAACAGATGAAGATTATGTCCTTCACATGCATGCACAGCAGAGGAATGTACTCAATGCTGCAAAAGCAGGACTTTGATATGACGAGTGTAACTTTCTCATAAAGCAGCTGTTCACACTACCTTGTAACTTCATTGTTGCGTCATGGCATCAATACATACTGTCAATATGTACTTAGTACTATAGCTACAGAGCGCTGCAGGAATGAGTCGGTAAACTCGGAAATGGGTCAGCATTTTTTTTGCACTTTCGAGATTTTGACTTTTTTGTTCTACGATACGGAAATACGCCAGTAAATCCTCCTCTCGTGAATTTTGAAGCTGTTACGTGTCTTAAAAAAGGCAACTGTCAACAGAGAACAGAAATTTACAAATGTTACATTATAGTTAAAGAAGACCACACAGAATAGCCTAAATGTGAGTGATTTGGTTAAAGAGATCCAGAGATTTTACTGTTTTCCCCACTTTCCCTGAGTCAGAAACTAATAAATGCATTTGGACAATCCTTTGAGATTCAGTGTTGTCTGGCATCCGGGATTTGAGCGAAACTAAGCAGAGTAATCGTGCTATTGTTGCTTTCACACCTGACAAACCAACAGGAGTAAACGTGAAGTCACATGAATTGTCAGGTAACTCAGTGATTGGAGCGCTTGGGTGACTGTCATTGTGCATCATCAGTGCCACAATAATTGAACTCCGGTGACTGTCTTAATTGCATTCAATACATCTTCTCTGATGTCATAAAGGGCTCAAAAGCCAAAAAAGGGAAAAGTGCAACTGGACTCACTTTCTGATGTATCAGGGAACATGCCTGCACCCACCTGCTGAAGCGCATATGCATTACCAAAGGATATTTTATGATCATAAACAACGTTTACTCAGCACTTAGGACAGTGGATCCCTACCACGCACTCCCACAGCCCTATCGCATGGCTTCAAGCAGGCTACACATTCGATAGATGGGGCGGCCTTAATGGAATCCTTTAATAGCATTTGACTGTGAGAAAACAACAGATTGACACACAATCCTCTTCACCAAACCTAACCATTAGCATTCAGTGGAATCGTACCGTGATGGAATCATCCATTGAGATATCCTGACATGCAATCACGTCGTCTAAATTGATAATAACGAGCACATACTAACTCAAAGTCCTCACAAAATCTGATCAAACTCAGTTAAATCAAACTACTGTCTAAATCTGATTGTGTGCATGTATGTTAACATAGTCAGTTGAAACCGTTTTGTTTATTTTGCACTGAAGCTCTTAATAATAAAATGAGAAAATACTCCGTGCTTCTCATTTGTCACGTATTAAATGGCTTTACCATGTGTTTATTTCATATAGACTGTTTAACCCCAGAAGAACTATTGTGATATATATTGTTATCGATATATGAAATGACCTATATTGTGATAGAAGATTTTGACCATATCGCCCAGCCCTAAGTTTAAACAATTAGTCATCCGAGTGGTTCGTCTGTGTGAACACACAGAAACTACGAACACTGGAAAAAAGGCGGGTGAGCTCCTAAAATCCCTTCCCCTCTCTGTCTCTCTCTTTCTCTCTCTCTCTCTGGTTGATGTGCTGACAAACACATGGGTCCGCCTCCCTTTTCCCATAATAACCGGTCAGAGGGAGCAGAGACTTCAAAAACAAACCACTCCACCCCCTCCCGTGTCTTGTTGCCAGCTCAATCTCTCCTTGATGGAGTGGTGTCTTCCACCGCAAGGAAATTAAAAAAAGAATACTGCTCCAGTCAGGACAGTCACTCCAATCAAACTGCGGGAGAAAAGCGAGTCAATCCTGGTCTGCGTATTTCACCAGAAAGCCAGAGTCGATTTTATGCAAATGGGGGAGTGTTGCGGTACAAGAAGCTGCACTTGACCTACATAGCGCTTCCACAATTCCTTCCCCAATAGAGAGGAGGAGATCACAGGAAGCTGGAAGCCAGGGGGACAAACCTTATTAACCACCAGCGCACAGGAATAAAGCAGTGCACTATGGGTAGAGGGGGGAACAACACAAAGCAGAGTGGTGCTTGTGGAGCGATAGAGACGCGAGTATATGAGACTGTGCTGGATGTGGTCCAGCGTTCAGCACCCACATGCAGCAAAAGGGTGCGATGGATGGGGGTGAAATGTTTTTGGAAAATCTAGAGGAAGAGTTGATGATCTGGTTTGATTCTTAAGTACTGATGTGCATAATGGAACATTCTTTTTTAGCCAAGTTGCTCGTAAAAAATAAAAAATAAATAAAAGGTTTTGGGTTTGCTGGAAAAAAGAACCTGATCCCAGACCGGAGCGCTGAGCCGAGGACATTCTCGGAGGCTGCTCTCACACAGAAGCGGCGCTGGACAAAAATTCCGCAGAAATTATACAGGCCGGGCCGAGCCTCGATGCTTTTGTAATTGGCTGCGCAGCCCTGCCCAGAAAAGAAAAGAAGGAAGAAAGAAAGACAAAATCTGACCGAGAAGAGTGGACGGACAACAAAAGGAGAAAGTGTTTGGCTCTGTGAGCGACAAGGACAAAAGACCGGATGAGCTCATGTCTCATGGTCACTGGTATAGTCTGCATGCATGTCATGTGCACGCAATGAAAACACATGCATCAGGACTGTGTTTTTAATTCTAGCTACGGTCCCAGAGCTTCTATTGATGCCAAAAATGCAGAATTACAAAGAAACTGTGGAGGAACTCATCTATAAATTCGCATTTAAAGTAATGGTGCAGCAATAAAAACTATGGCGTTCTGGGTTTGAGTGTCTACTGACTGCTGAGGCCGGGCATCGTTTGAAAAGTTTCCATACAATATGCCAATATGACAGCTGATGAGAGTTTCAGTCCCGATACCAAAGCTTTACTGATACCTTACTTTGAGAAATATAAAACAGGCTTTAGTAGTTAGATTTACGAGGAGAGCAGAGGATTACAGCAGAACAGGTGAAGGAAACAAGACCGCGGGGCCAACATGGCTGAGACACCGGCCTAGATTGAAGGGCTGCCAAAAGGCTCCAAACATTCTGCATCAGAGGTGGTGTGTTGCTTTGTAAAGCACAAAGGGAAGGGCTGTGATGTAACTGAATGCATTAAACGTTTCCTCTTCCGAGGACAGAGTACAGTAGGCTGAGAGGAAGGGTGAGGGCTGACATGCGCCTGTATTAGGCGGGACTTAAACCTAGGATGCTGTGGCTCCACACCCCCAGTGCCTGAACCACCGCAATGATCCTAATAATGTGTTACCTTAGAGGTCAAGATTCAAGACGCAGACGGGACGAGATCTTTGGAGCAACACAGCGACCGCCACGCTGAAAATAATGTTCGTCCCTCGAGCCGATCCGCAGCAGAATCTGAAAGCAGCCTGCAGCAACTCCTTTAATTAATTAGAAATACTCTGATATCTAATTAATCCCTAATACACATGAAACGGGAGCAATTTGCAGCAAGAACCTTCGCCAGGCAATCTGATTATGATCGCCCAAAAAACACAAACTCTGTTATCATTTAATTATGATTGAGAGGCAGGCCTGGGAATAGCTCAGCTTCAAGCAAAAACACAGATGAATTCAACCGTTAAAAAAGAACCAATAAGTGTGTCCCTCAGAGACTGGGACAGGTCAGAGACCGCCGCGAATCCTGAGGACTGAATACACCCTTGATGAGAAGGTGCAGTCAATAGGCTTGGAGGGCCACCTAACCCAATAATGCGCTCTGTGACAAATAACATGCCTTGTGGGGCGGCGAGGCCCAGGAGAAAGAGCGCCGTGTGTCGCTCTGAGTGGCTGTGTAAACACACGCTTTTTAATCCATTTAGGCGTCAGGGCCCTGAGAGCAGGTCAAGTGATGGGACGTGGAGATTCAGAGTGGCAGACACACTCACGAAAACAACTGGGAGGGATTTAAACATGAGGTGGAAATGATGCTTGAAAAACAAAACAGCACAGGTGAGCGGAGTGCACTGGCTTGGATCAAGAACAATAAAAAGAAGCACATGCACTGAGATAAAAAAAGACACCAAACGGAGATAACACAAACTGAGCTTTTTCCCTGTGTGACGCTTGACTACTAAATTTAGATCAGAGAAAACTTTCATGATCTACCCGGGAAGATTTGGCACACGTTGTGCGTCCGATTGCGAGGATACAATAATATTCCTGCTGCGAGCTGCAGCGTTTATTTTCATTGAGGAACAATGATGGAGCTATTAGGGGGGGGGGCCGCAAATAACGGTTATCATCACCACTGGTGAATTCGTCTTCTGTGTTTTTGATTAACAGTCTTTTAAATGAAAATATTACAAAAGTGATGTCTTCACATGACTTGTTTTTGTCTGCTAGGCCTTTTTGCTTGATAAGTGACTTCCATCAGCTGATAAGCAAAGTGATTTGACTAATCACTCAATCAACTAATCTTTTCAGCAGCACTCTGCGTGTGTCCCCCCTCATGCTCGGAGTGTGAAACATTTTTAAAAAGCCACTGATTGGTTCAGTGTTTTGCTCTCACCTTCTTGCCCATGGAGCCCGTCTTGGTGAGGCAGGACTTCTCCAGGGACAGGTACCCGCCGACGACCTCAATCTCCTCCGCAGCGGGGTAGCGTTTCTTCAGCAGGGAGCCCAGCTGAGCGTAGGGGGCCTGTGGGGGCGTGGACCCCGGTGGGGCCTCACTGGAGGCTTCCTGCTGCTGGGGCTCAGATGAGCTCGACTGGCCCTCGGGCTCCACCCGACGTTTAGGGACCACGGTGAAGGTGTTCTTTCTCCTCTGCATGGGGCTGGGAGCAGGGGCGCGCTGCTGGGGCTCCACTTCAATGTCGTCTATGTTTGTTACCGGCAGCTGATCCACGGGGGGTTGTTCTGGAGCCGGGGACGGGGCAGAGGGGACGGGGGACAGGGCTGGAGAGTCCGAGGGGACCGGAGAGAAGGAGGGTGAAGACGGGACAGCCGGAGAAGAGGGGGGTGAAGACAGGTCAGGTGGAGAGTAGGGAGCTGGGGTAAGAGAGGGAGATGGAGACCGAGGTTCTGAGGTCAGAGGAGGCGCAGGACTTGTGGCAACAGGAGATGGTTCAGGCTTTGATACCCTCACCGACCTCTTGACCTCCTTCTCCTCTAACAGTTTCTCCTCATTCCTCTTCGAGGGCGTCAAGGTGGGCATGGGGGTGTGGGTGGTTGGCACTCCTGGCGTGGGCACCTCTGCCACTCTGTGGGAAGGGGACGACTTGACGGGGCTGGACGGTACTGGGCTGCCTGTTGCAGATGAGGCAGCAGGACGGCATTTGGGAATCACTGTGAAGGAGTTACGGGACTGCAGGCGCAGGTTCGCGAGGGCCCGTGCCTGTGTGTCCCCGTCAGGTATTCGGGTGAGGTCTGGCTTTATAGAGGGACGGATCTCAAAGTCAGATGAGGAGCGGGACACCTTGAACGACATGGGACTGGTGGGGGACTCGGCACGTACTCCGCGGGTCTCTGGGGAGCATGGCACCTTGGGTGTGGGTGGCCCCACAGAGCCCTCCCAGTCTCTCTCTCTGAAGAGCTTGGTTTGCCCCCTGTCTGGCTCATCCCCGGGGCTGACAGCCGTACCTTGGCCTTCACTCTCCTCAAACCACTGACGGTAGGAAGACACGGGCTGAGGGGGGCTGCCAAGCTCGGAGACAGCAGGCTGTGGCTTTGGTTTGGAAGACGAAGGACTCGGGAAGACAGGCGACGATGGCTGGCTGCTGCCCGGGCTTCTGACAGATGGGCCTGGTCTGGCCTTTGGCACCAGATCTGGCTGTGGCTTGGCCCAGAGTCGTGGCCTGCTGCTGGCACTACAGTCCAGGTCCAGCAGGTTCTCCGTGCTGCGGGACTTCTTCTGCAGCTTCCCATAGTTGCTGTCAAACTTCTGCAGCATCCGGCTAACCCTGCCTTGACCCTCACCTGTCTCATATGATGGGGCCTCATGATCAGGGCGGCCCAAGGTGCTCAAGTTCTCCTCGCTCTTGCTTATCGTGGTGTCATAAATGACCACTTCCTTGGCTCTTATCTCAGTAACAGCACTCCCTCTCCGGTCCAGGAGGTCGTTCAGAGAGCTGTAACTACTGACGCCGTTTTGCTGCCATTTCGATCCGCTTTTTATCCCTCCAGCTTCCGGAAAGTAATCCGGGTCCGACTCAATTATGATAATGTTCTCGGCGCGGATAGTCCGTATACCGGGTACGCTGCCATACAGCTCCAGGATGTGCTGGACCGGACGAGTGGCGTTGTCTCGGTCCTGTCGCCTCCTCCGCTCCTTCTCCAGCTTGATGAAGGGGTTCTCCTCCAGCGGGCCCAGACTTTCCTGCAGCACCAGGTTCTCACGTCTGTCGTCCTCCCTCGGTGTCGTCCTCTCCGCGTCCGTCGGCCGCGGCTCTTTGTTGTTCGCGAAGTGTTGACTGGCGGTGGTGATGGTGTAGCTTCGCCCGGACCCGCAACTCGGTCCGCTGTCTCTTTTGGGTCCGCCGCTACCGCTGCTACTGCTGCCGTTCACATTTCCCGTCTGCTCGCCGTTAAGCCGCTGCGAGCCCGCGCCGGTGGGGCTTGTCTCCGCGGCACCGGCTCCTCCAGACCCGCCGCCCTTCGCCTTCCTCCTCTCCAAGATCTCTAGCTTCCAGGCCGGCATCCTCGGGCTCTCTTGCCCGGGCTCTTGGCGGAGGACGCGTAGCTCCCCTCCGCCAGACATTGCGGAGGTTTGTTTGGAGGGGATGAAGAGGAGAGAGGCCGGCTCTGAGGCGCTATGCCGCGGTCTGGTGCGGCTGTAAAACCTGATTCCGGCTCTGACTGTACCTGCAGCACCGATCACCTCACACTCATCCCTACCGTCTGTTTTTTTCCTCTCTCCTCTCGCTCTGCTTTCTCACCCTCTGACTCCACACAGCCCCTGAACGCGGCCCCGCCCATCCGCAGCAGCACGGGCGGCTTCGGCAGTCCCATCCGCTTCTTGATTGGTCGTTAGATTCTAAGACACGCCCCTCGCTTTCTGTGGAACGCCACACATTGACGCAAACCACTCCCGTTTCTATTGTTGACTGGGCAAGGAAGGCCTGTCAATCAAAAGTGTTGCGTTCAGGTTCAACCCGCCCCTCTCTTTTTTGTGCACTATATTTAATACCATCAGTGGATGTATCTTTTATTGGGTAATTGAATATAGATTTGTCGTCAATATTGTTTGTGCTGCTACAGTTACGATTTAATTACAATCCTAACGGATGAGACTTGCAAGTTCATCTAGCACATTAGAAATGTACTAAATATTAGTATGATTGCTAAAATCCCGTAAAAACTTGATTAGTCTATTGTATCTTTAGGTCGCGTCCTGAAGATTGACTTATTTGTGCTTCGTTTTATTTTACTTTACTACATATGGTTTCCCAATAATGTTCTGAATTCATTGGTTTTAGTGGTCTTTGTATAATTTTACCTTTTAAAACCACCCACAGTGTTTTTGTTCGGGTGTGATAAGTAGGAGATATCCAGTACCCGGTGGAGGCTGACGACTGTTCATTCAGCATTTTACCGGTGATGCCACCTGTCGATAATCCGGCTGCAGTAAACACATGAGCTGAGAAGTGGCCTGGTGCACATTGAATCGGCACTAAGAGGGCTATTCTTGGGCACTACAAGCGATTACTGTACCTCATCAAACATTTATCACCGAGCCATAATTAAGAAACAGCATGGCTAAAGAGCGCACGGGAGGAAAATAATCAAATGCATGAAATAAATACGTCAGTATGTGCCTGTGTCTGCTCGTCAAAGTCGGTAGAAAGCAGCTGAGGATGTTTCTGAAAATCGAGAGGTGACGTCGAAAGAAGATGTTTTCATTAAACACACAAATACACTTTTATTTTGATTAATTCTGATATTCATTGGGGCTAATATTTTTTTTAATGACAGTGTTAATCTGTAATATTACATGGGAGAGACATACAAGGACACTGATCTGAGACATAATCTATCACATAACATGTCAATATATGCAACAATAATGCTGCTTATGTTTGACAGAACCCGAATCATATAGGATATGCAGTGTGATGCATCTTATTGAAGTCTGTAAACTGATTTTCACTCCGTGCTGAATTTACTGTAAAATACAAGCAGGAAACATGTTTTGGAGACGAACGTGTAAAAAGATGTACAGTCTGGTCCTTTTCGTTGTGGTATACTCGCTCATTTAAAAGGCCAGTAGCGCCTCCTTGTGGCCAAAGAGACGAAGGCCCAGTAACAGACTAAATGTCTCCACCAGACTAAAAAACTTTCAGTTTAGGTTATCAATTGAAGACACCAGAGATATTACTGTTCTCCATGAGATGCTCAGTTACAATATAGCTTCCCACCACCTGGTGGCGGTAATGCGTCAGTCAGTTGTTAAATCATTTAATGAATCATAAACATGATTTAACCACTAGAGCGCAGCAGTGTTAAATAATTTAATGAATCATAAACATTACACGATTTAACCACTAGAGGGCAGC